TTTCAACACTATTCTAGATAGTTGACACATAGCAACTATCACCTGACATCCCCCTTTACTATACCTTCCTATAGTGCTATATGACCTTAGATGTCTAGCACATTTATCTTAACCATTAACCATTAACAATTACATTATTAATTCATGGATTTTTTGTCTAATGGAAGTTCATTAATAACAAAGAAATAAAAGTAAATTATAAAATCATCTTCCTGAACAAAGAGAAGAAATGCATTTCATTGACTAGAAATTATTTCCTGAAACTTGTCAAAACAAAAAAAGTTGTGTCTACTGCTAATACATATTGCCAGTGACAATTACACTAATTTAAAAAATATAATATAATATAATAAATCAAAAAGTACAGTATAATATATTATACTAATAAAACTAATGATGACAAAAAAGAAAATAACAATAAATAATAATACATAATGATGTATAATACCATTAAAAGATTTATATTGATAATCATGGTCTATTGCTTGATGACTGACTAATGATTGATGACAAGGGCAAGGATGATATAATAATATTAAATCAGTGCTACTACTACTAAAAACAATTACAAGCACATCTTTTCTTTCCACTTATCCAAATACTTGACAAAGTGATTCAGTTTCTCTCTCTCTCTCTCCTCTCTCCTTCACTCCCCCGACTCTCTCTCGCTACTTCCCTCCCCCGACTCTCTCTCTACTACTCTTCTCTCTACTTCCCTCCCCCGACTCTCTCTCTCTACTTCCCTCCCCCGACTCTCTCTCGCTACTTCCTCCCCCGACTCTCTCTCTCTACTTCCCGCCCCCCGACTCTCTCTCTCTCTTCCTCCCCCTCTCTCTCTCTACTTCCCTCCCCAACTCTCCCTCTTACTTCCCTCCCCCGACTCTCTTTCGCTACTTCCCTCCCCGACTCTCTCTCTCTTTACTTCCCTCTCTCTCGCTCTACTTCCCTCCCCGACCTCTCTCGCTACTTCCCTCCTCCGACTCTCTCTCTTTTACTTCCCTCCCCCGACTCTCTCTCTACTTCCCTCCCCTGACTCTCTCTCTACTTCCCTCCCCGACTCTCTCTCTTTGCTTCCCTCCCCTGACTCTCTCTCGCTACTTCCTCCCTACTCTGTCGCTACTTCCCTCCCCCGACTATCTCTCTCTACTTCCCTCCCCCGACTCTCTCTCTCTACTTCCCTCCCCCGACTCTCTCTCTTGTACTTCCTCCCCCGACTCTCTTCCCTCTCCCCCGACTCTCTCTACTTCCCTCCCCCGACTCTCTCTCTCTACTTTCCCCCCGACTCTCTCTCTCTTACTCCTACTCTCTCTCTTACTTCCCTCCCCCGACTCTCTTCTCTTTTACTCGCCCCCCCTCTCTCTCTATCTCTTTACTGCCCCCTCTCTTCTTTACTCCCCCCCCTCTCTCTCTATCTCTTTACTGCCCCCTCTCCTTCTTTACTCCCCCCCCTCTCTCTCTTTACTTCCCCCCTCTATCTCTCTCTTTACTTCCCCCCTCTTCTCTCTCTTCTCTTACTCCACCCCTCTCCTTCTTTACTTCCCCCCTCTCTCTCTCTCTTACTTCCTTCTTGCTTTACTCCCCCCTCTCTCTTTATTTCCCACCACTCTCTTTTACTTCCTGCCTCCTCTCTCTTTACTCCCCCCCTCTCTCACACACACACACACACACACACACACACACACACACACACACACACACACACACACACACACACACACACACACACACACACACACACACACACACAAAACAAAACTCACTCCAACACATACAAATACACATATTCTCTCTCACTCTCTCCCTCTTCCTCCCTCCTCCCCCTTTCTTCTTTCTTTCTTTCTTTCTCTCTCTCTGTCTCTCTCTCACACACACACACACATACACACTCTCACTCTCTCTCTCTCTCTCTCACACACACACACACAAACACACACACACAACACACACACACACACACACATACAAACACACACACACACACACACACACTCTCTCTTCTCTCTCTCTCCTCTCTCTCTCTCTTTCTCCTTCTCTCTTCTCCTCTCTTCTTCTCTCATCTGCTCGTCTCTCTTCTCTGCTTCGTCTCTCGTCTCATCTCTCTCTCTCTTCATCTCATCTCTCTCCGTTCTTTTCTCACAGCTCTCCCTCTTCACATCACTCACTCACGTCTTCTTTGTGTGTTTGTGTACGGGGGAGGATAGGGCGCAGGAGTCATGTGGAGTGCGACGTGTGAAGGAGCATATAGTAGGTGCAGGGAAGAAGGAGGGAGGAGAAGAGAGGATGAGTGGGAAGTGAATTAGTGAGTGAGATGAGAAAGGGAGAGTGGGTGGGGGGGGCGTCGGTAAATATAGGGTCTCAAATGAAAGGGGGAAGAATAGAGAGTGAGTTGAGTGAGTGAGGAGGGAGAGTGTGAAGAAAAGAGGAGAGAGAGAGGAGGAGGAGAGAGAGAGAGAGAGAAGGGAGAGGAGGGAAGAGGAACGAGAGAGAGAGGAGAAGGAGAGAAAGAGAGAGAGAGGAGGAGAGAGAGAGGGTTGTGTGTGTGTTTGTGTGTTGTGTATGGTGTGGTGTGTGTGTGTTGGTTGTTGTGTGTGTTTGTGTGTGTGGTGTGGTGAGAGAGAGAGAGAGAGAGTGAGGTGTGTATGTGTGTGTGTGTGTGAGAGAGAGAACAGAGAGAGAGAAAGAAGAAAGAAAGGAAGAAAGGGGGAGGGAGGAGGAGAGGGGAAGAGGGAGTGAGAAGAGAATGTGTATTTGTATGTGTGTGAGTGGAGTGTTGTTTGTGTGTGTGTGTGTTGTGTGTGTGTGTGGTGTGTTTTGTTGTGTGGATGTGTGTGGTGGTGGTGTGTGTGTGTGGTGTGGGTGTGTGTGTGGGAGGGGGGTAGTAGGGGAGGAGGAAGTAAGAGGTGGTGGGGAATAAGAGAGTAGGGGGAAAGTAAAGAGGTGGTAGGGTAAAGAGAGAGAGAGGGGGGTCGCAGACGTAAGAAGGAGAGGGGTTGGAGTAAAAGAGAGGAGAGAGCAGAGGGGCGGGAGTCTTCTAAAGTTGTCTAAGATGTACTAGTAGCGTCGGGGAAAGTATCATCAGAAGGAGGGTCGGGTGGCGGGAGTCAAGAAGCCGACGAGGGGGTGTGAGCTAAACGAACGATAGAGAGAGGGGGGGGGGTAACGATGGAGAGGGGCGTAAAAGAGATAGAAGAGAGACGGGGGCGGGAGTAAAGAGGGAGATCCGGGGGAGGTCGCGCAGTATTGATGAGGAGAGAGTCGGCTGGCCTCTGGGGGGAATGAGAGAGAGAGTCGGGGAGCGCTAAGTAGCGAGTGAGAGTTCCGGTTGTTGGGAGTGGAAGTAGAGAGGCGAGTAGTCGTGCAACGGGAGGGAAGTACAGAGAAGGCGTAGCTCGGTCCTGCTGGGCTACGCCGTTGAGTCTACACATGCAGAGAGATTCCCGGGGAGGGAAGTAAGAGAGGAGAGAGTCGGAGAGGGAGTGGACAGGGAGAGTAGCGGACCAGGGCGTGCGCACACGGGGAAGTCAAGCGACAGGGCGAGGGATGGGAAAGTAGCGAGAGAGAGTCGGCGCAACGGTCAGGATTCGAGGATTAAAAGTCAGAAGAGAGAGATCTCGACGGGGGAGGGAAGTAGGAGAGGTCAGGAGGAGGGAGTAGGCGTACGCGAGGCTCGGGGGGGAAGTAAAGAAGAGGAGTCGGAGAGGAGTAGCGAGAGATGTACCGTCCGGGGCGGATGTGCGTGAGGTTCCGGGGAGGGAAGCTAAGGCCCAGGTGAGTTCGCGAACGGGGCGGGAAGTCCGCGAAAGAGAGTCGGGGAGGGTGCACAGAGTAGAGAGTGAGGAGTTGGAAACGGGGGAGTAGAGAGAGGGACGTTCGGGGGGAGGTCAACGGGAGGGAATATGGAGAGGGAGTGGGGCGGCGAGGAGATAGGATAAGCGAGAAGAGTCGGTCAGGGACATCTCAAAAGAAGGAAGTGCCGAAGGAGAGAGTCGGGGGTAGGACACACTGGACGGTGCGAAGTTCAAGAAGAGGAAGAGTTCCGGGACGGGAGGAAGGGGAGAGTAGATGAGAGAGGGTGGGAGGGGAAGTGCAGAGAGAGTGGTGGAATGACAAATGGGCAATAGCAGTAAGAGAGAGAGTCGGTCGGATCTTCCCTGGGAGTGCAGTGTAGAGCAGGAGAAGAGACGAGAGGACTCACTGATCCACTCTTGTTTGTCACAGCTCTTTGATCAGTGTCCTCTCTCTTGCTACTTGTCCTTCCCCGAGTCGGTACACTCTTCGAGCTCACCGCTTCACAGTTCAGCATGAGACGGTCACTGCTTCTCTCTATCTCCTTCTCTCTGCTGCTCTCTCTTTCAGCACACACGGCCAAGACAGCCCACACACACAACAACACACACACACACTACACCACACTACACACACAACACAACAAACACACACACACACACACAGATTCTCTCTCTCTCTCCTCCCTTTCTCAACGTCTCTCCCTCCCTCTCTCTCTCTCTCTCCTCTCTCTCTCTCTCTCTCTCTCTCTCTCTCTCTCTCTCTCTCTCTCACACACACACACACACACACACACCCACACACACACACACACACACACACACACACACACACCACACACACACACACCCACACTCACTCTCTCTCTCTCTCCTCCTTCCTTCACACTTTCACTCTTACTCACTCTCACTCACTCACACACACAAACGCATGCACGCGCACACTCACACACACACACACACACACACACACACACACACATACACACACACACACACACACGCACGCATGCACGCACGCACGCACACACACACACACACACACACCAAAAACCCTCCCTCCATTTTTAGATATATGTGGCCTTACCTGATTACCTCTGTCCTTAATTTTTTATGAAAAATGTTTTTTTTTTCCTAATCATATTGATATCAATGTTGTTGCTATTATTATCAATATAGCAATTATGATAATGTTATTAATAATACCAACAGGAATTATGCAAATCAAAACATATATTTCCAAACATCAAAGAAAAGGGTTAACAGGCAAAAATAAGAACTTGTAGAGCTATATAAGTACATACAATTAACCAAGTAAATTACTAGTGGGCATGGTACATTTCATGATTTTGTCTTGTCACAATGAAATTACCTTTGGCATGTTTGATAATAATAAAAATAATATTACTGATAATAAAATTAATAATAATAATAATGATCACAATGATGACAATAATAATAATAGAATAAAAAAAAAGACCTCATAATAAATTCTCCCTTGATAAAGGCTATGGGTAAGTCAGGGTAAATAATTCTTCATACTGAGCTTTCACTTACAATGAAAATAAATGAAAAAAGAAAAAAAGTAAAAAGAGAGAAAAGAAGTGTATAATAAAATTTATTTCAATTCACTGAAAAACTCCTGCTGCATCATCTAAGGTCACCAGTAACATATTCAAAATATATGGATACATCAAAGGTCATAAAGCATTGTGACAAAGTATTGTGGTGAAAAAGTTAAAGGTTCCGTTCCAGTAGGCTGTTCATAAGTACGTTTATTCATATGTCCGTAGTAGGGCGTACGGTATGTTTTCAGCAGCTTGCTCTTCTGATGACAATCCTCCATCCAAATGCTCAGAAGTTTTTCAAGTTCTTCTATCACTTTTCCACGTTTCTTACTAATAATTGTAGACTTTATAGTGACTGAACTTTTTACATGTTCCATGATCTTATCCTTGTTCTTGAGTATTGTACGAATGGTAGAACGATTCATCTGGTACGAATGAGCAACATCCGCCGTCAGCTCACCGCGCTCCACTCTTATCATGATATCCACTTTTGTTTCCATTGTGATGGCCTGGCATTTCTTAGCACTACCAGCTGCATCACCACTGCTTTTGCGCTTAACACCCAACATGTTTGAATGCTTAATAAGGGCAAAGACTTCGCAAAACAATCACAAAGTTTTCTGAAGAGCACACAGCATACATTTGAATGAGACTGTGTGGGTACAGTGAAAGAGCTATTGTTTATGATGCGTGCTACTCTCACTCGCTTCTGACAACTTTGTTTTATGTAGCGAAGTTCGTAACTTGGGTGTTTGCAAATAGGGGACCACCTATAATAAGGACAAAATATGTTAGATATAAAAGGCTGTACAGTAGTGAAAAGGGTAAAGAGGAAGAGCAAATAGAGTATGAAGGCAGTTCAGGACTGACACAAAGCCAGTCTTTCATCCTCTCACACTTTGGGATGTGGACAAAAGGGGATGAAGAAGAGACAGAAAAAAAAGAGGGAGAAAAAAAGACCATGCAATATTAGTTGCGGCAAGGGCTAAGATCCAAGGTAGGGGTAATCCTTTACCTTGGACCTAAGTCTTTGTCTCCTAAGCCCCCCCCACGACAACTATGAGCAAGGGATTCGAGGGATACATAATAAAAGCAATAATCAAAACTTCAGATTACTCACAATTAAGAAAAAGAGGCCTACATTCACAACTGCACAAAAAGTGTTAACAGAAATAAATGGCAAAACTTGTGTACCTAAAGTATAAAAAATGGCCAATTAAAAGGTTAAAAATAAAAGTTATTTACACTAATACTAAGTAAATGACCACTCCCCCAGTCCCTTGATCATTGTTGTTGTGGGGGGGGGGTGTGCTTAGGAGATGGAGACTGATACCCAAGTTAGGGGATCCCCCCTACCTTGGACCTCAGCCCTTACCTCAACCAATTTTGTAAGGTCTTTTTTTCTAACCCTTTTCTTTTCCTTCTTTTCTTCTCCCCTTCTTCTCTCCACATCCTAAAGTGTGAGTCATGCTGAAAGGATGAGACTGGCTCTGTCAGTCCTGTACAGCCTTCATAATCCCTTTGCTATTCCCTCTTTACCCTTTTCACTACCATACTAACATACAGTGCTCTACAACCTTTGACATCTTATATATTTTGTCCTAGCTATTAGCTAATTTTAACCATTTTTGCCACAATATTGCATCATAGTTCTGTAGGACCTTTCCTTACCTAGGGGCATCACCCTCAAGCCTCAACATATCACTATATTTCCAATATGCCACTAATGACCTTAGATGTTGAAATTTTTCAATAAATAATAATGAGTAAATTAATTAATAGACTAATGATGTATATAATAACCTCCTGATTCTGAAGAGCAGTGAAACATTATCTACTAAACCTGATCTATAAAATATGGTTGTTATTTGTACAACTCAATATATTACACTATATTTGGAGGAATATACTTCCCAAAAAAAGAGTAAATAATAAAGTCAAAGAAAAAAGTGAAAAACTAGGAAAACAGTAAGAGAAAGCGAAATATATCCTTCATTCTCTGCTTTTATACTAAAGGAAGTAATTAGATTTTGCAAACCGTCACTAGAAAAATTAGCATTGTATCAAGTACGCATTATGCATAAATAGTTTGTCATATGATGGCCATAATACCAAGTAGTATGCCAAAAATGGTGAGCATAAATATCAGTTGCATAGGATGAGATTTGCAGATCAAAATTTTCACGAAAATACTAAGCTGATGAAAGTTGAACATTATGGTTTTCAAGTTATTATAAATGAACCAACTAATGATATAAGGCCCCATTCATCCCATGCCCATTGTTGTCATGGAGGGGCTTAGGAGATGAGGACTGAGACCCAATGTGGGGGATCACCCCTGCCTTGGGCCTTAGCCTTCGCCCTAACTAATTTTGCATGGTCTTTTTTTCTCCAATTTTCTTTTCTTTCTCTTCTTTATCTCCTTCTGTCCACATCCTAAAGTGTGAAAGCCATGCTGAAAGGATGAAAGGCTGGCTTAGTGTTAGTCTTGAATGGCCTTTGTACTCTGCTATTCCCTCTTTACCCTTTTGACTAACATACTAACTCTACAACCTTTGACATCTAACATATTTGTCCTAATTGTTGACTAATTTTGAACCTTTTTGCCACAATACTTTGTCATGATGCTGTATGACCTTTCCTTAACTGGGGGCTTCACCCCCAAGCCTTGTCCTATCGCTATATTTTGTATACGCCACTAATGACCATAGATGTTGATGTGGCAGAAAAAAAAAAAAAAAAAAAAAAAAAAAAAAAAAAAAAAAATGGTGTGGGGCATTTACATAAATGCCCATTCCACTGTTATTTAACTTTATTAATTTTGTTTACACAAAGCTGGCTCCATAAGTGACTAGTCACCAAGGAACTTCTCTGATCTCTTTTATGATTTTTGGAAACATTTTTGTTATATTTTTCCCTAATTTAAGAAAAAGTTTGAGCACATTCCTGTGGATAATATAGTACACTGAGTGGATTGAACTAAGTCGGTAACTGTTCAAAAATGCTTAATTCATCATCCAAAGAAGTAAGTAAGAGTTGCTATATGCTTTCCCAGTTGGATGGCCCTAGGGGAAAACAATATCATGTACCTGTTATAAAAGCTAAAGCATTCACACAGCACTACAGAAAATATCTTTATGAGTATAAAATGTTGCAGATTTATATCACCATCCTGCTCCCTGTACCTGTCTCTTTTTAGGTAATGATATAATTTGTCTATAAAATATATACAGTATACACCTAAAATATGCAGTACATTCACATCAACTATATTTGTATATTGAGGCCAAGATTGTTGACTCGTTTTCTTCTGCTGACCATCTGAGCAAGGGAATAGTCAGAGATAACCCAAATTCCTCGAACAAAGAGCTTACAAAGGTACTGTTCTGTTACATCACGACAATCCTTTACATTGAGCACGCGCAGATTACGACAGTATTCGACCACCTGAAATGGAAAAAAATCTTGAAAACTCTAAAGAAAATGAGGAGAGAAAAAAAAAAAAAAAAAAAAAAAAAAAAAAAAAAATCTCTCTCTCTCTCTCTCTCTCTCTCTCCCTACTTACATTCCCAATAAGAGAAATCTAAATCAATTTTTTTAACCATATTAAAAATAAAACTTACAGAAGAGTATAAATACATCTAACAAAACCACCCTGCTGTTGCAATTTCAATCTATTTCAATATGTCCTACTTAAAAAAAAAAAAGATAAGGAGTCATACATTCCAGATGAATAAACAATGATGATATCTAAAAGCAACAAGGATTCTCTACATAAAGACAACAACTTTCTGGTCAGTACAAACAATGCATTAACTGCTTTGTTACTATGTTTTTCTGTGAGATATGCTGTAAGTTGTAGCACATTTAGGTACCTTTGGAACTACAAGGAGGAATATTTCTGTGAGAAACTGAATTTTTATAGAACCTCAATACTTATACATACAAGTACTTCCCCTTACCAAATATCTTGGATCATTATATATAATACTAAACTTTGGCCGCAACAGTCTCCTAACTAATGGCTTTGTGGGAAGAGTAGGTATAACAAGAGAATGCTACCTTTTCTGAGGATATCACAAGTCATATATAAAAGATAATATAAAAGAATAAATTACTTGATTAACTGTGCTGGATTTCTGGTCCTTATATTGTTTAAAATTAATGACATGCAATTATTATTGAAATCCAATCAGGCAAGTAAACAAAAAACCTGTACACTTATACAAAGGCAAACAACACTGAAGGAACTAACACATTTAAAAGTGCTACTTGTGCATCTTACCCTATTTATTCCTTCATCAGTTACCCTCCAACATCCTTCATAAGTGATACAAAGG